TCAGGCATTTCCAAGGCATGTGCAGGAGGTTTTCCTGCTCAGATCCTTGGGAAATTGTAGTGAGGTTTATTGGGGTCATTTTTGGATCATGCAAGTAGTGGGTTTAGGATTATTCTTCCCTTGCTGCTTGCTGTCTCTCGTGTTGCTGGGTTTCTGCTGTGGCTGGTGTAGTGACTCCTCTATCCTTCCCTTGGGTAAGCTGCAGACTCTGTCCTCTCTAGACTGGCTTGGGAAGTGCCCTGGGGAGCAGCTTCTCCCACACTGAAATAAGGGGAAGCATAGGCTGAGGGGGTGTGTGCAGTTGCTTGAAGGAGGCATGCAGGATTTGGCTTTCCCTGGTTTAATCATAGAATCCCAAACTGGTTTGTGTTGGAAGGGACCTTAAAGCTCATCCAGTTCCAACCTCCTGCCACGGGCAGGGACACCTTCCACCAGACCAGGTTGCTCCAAGCCCCATCCAACCTGGCCTTGAACACTGCCAGGGATGGGGCAGCCACAGCTTCTCTGGGCACCCTGTGCCAGCGCCTCAGCACCCTCACAGGGAAGAACTTCTGCCTAAGAGCTCATCTCAGTCTCCCCTCTCTCAGGTTAAAGCCATTCCCCCTTGTCCTGTCCCTACAGGCCCTTGTCCAAAGCCCCTCTCCAGGTTTCTTGGAGCCCCTTTAGGCACTGGAGCTGCTCTAAGGTCTCCCCTTAAGGAGCCTTCTCTTCTCTAGGCTGAACCAGCCCAGCTCTCTCAGCCTGGCTCCAGATCAGAGCTGCTCCAGCCCTCGCAGCATCTCTGTGGCCTCCTCTGGACCCATTTCAACTTTCATTAACTTTTTTTCTAGCCCTCCCTTCCTTTTATCTCTGCTTAGCCCTTTCCCTCGCTTCCGCTGGGGTGATGGAGAAGCTGGGTAAGGACATCACCATGGGGAAGGCTTTGGACACAGCACATCTTTTGTGATGTGTTCTGCCTCTCTTCTCATAGAATCATAGAATGGTTTGGATAGGAAGGGACCTTAAAGATCATCATTTTTACCTTTTTTTTTTGTCACAGTGGCTTTGTTAGTTACCCTGTTGACCTCACTGAAAGCTTAGGAAGCTGCACTGTGTGTCCGGCTCTGGTGGGGGATGCTGGAGCACTCAGCTGGGTTGGCTTATGCCTGGCGGTTGTCCCAGGGCTGCTGACAGGAGACCTGGCCCTGGGGACTCATCTCACACTTCCCCATCTGGCTTCAGACTGGGAGTGATGGAGCTGTCACTGGGCTCCTGCCTGAGCTCTCACAGGCAGCCAGAAGGATTTTTTCCCCCGTGTCAAGACTTGATTATGTGCTCTCCTTTCTATCAAAATGCCAAGCAGCTACTAAATGTAGGCTGCAACAGCGTTATGGCTTTTCTAATTGAGCTTTACACTCCATCAGGGATCTTTAGTACTGACCAGACCTAGCTGTGGAGCCTGCTTGGGAAGCATATATGGGTGCAACGTGACTTCCTGGTGGTGTCAGGTTCCAGCAGGCAGTGAATGCTGAGGCCTCTGGAGTTGTGCTTGGTGTCGTAGTATCAGCTGGGATAGAGTTAGTTCTCTTCCTAGTAGCTGGTGCAGTGCTGTGTTTCTGCTTTAGTCTGAGAATGATACTGAGACCACACTGATGGTTTAAGTCGTTAAGCTTAAAGACTTCTCATGCTCTGCCGATGAGGTGGGGGGGGGGTGGGGTGGGGGGGGGTGTGTGTACAAGAAGCTGGGATGAAGCAGAGGCAGGACATTTGACCCAAACTAGCTGAAGGGTATTCCATACCGTAGAGCATGAGGATTGAGTTATAAACTGGAGGGAGCTGGCTGGAAGGGACTGTTTGCTTCTCAGGGATGAGCATTGGTCAGAGAGTGGTGAGCAGTTGTATTGTGCATCACTTGGGTTTTCCTGGATTTTATTTATCTCTTTTTGTTATCTCCCTTTTCATTTTTATTCTAATAATATTTCATTTCAGTTATGAGGGTGCTGAGGCACTGGCACAGGCTGTCCAGAGAAGCTGTGGCTGCCCCATCCCTGGCAGTGCTCAAGGCCAGGTTGGACAGGGCTTGGAGCAACCTGGTCTAGTGGAAGGTGTCCCTGCCTGTGGCAGGGGGTTGGAACTGGATGAGCTTTAAGGTCCCTTCCAGCCTAAACCACTCTAGAAATTATTAATCTGCTCTTACCTCAACCCACGTGATTTACCTTTTTCTGATCCTCCTTCCCATCCCACCCAGGGAGGTGGTATATAGCTGCTGGCTGAGGACACACAAGGTGGTAGAGCCACATAGATGGAGCGTGCTTGGGAATTCAAGTTCAGATTTCACATATAAACAGGTTTCTAGTTGCTTTCCTTTTTCATTAATAAATCATTGTCTGCAGCTTTGCAACATTAAAGTTGTTGCTCCTGAGAGGGTGAGAATTCTTCCCTCTTTTCCCCCATTAGATTTGTGTGTAGGCACAAGGGGATGTTAGCACTTAAAATGCTAATGCTGTTCTGCAGGTGATGGTGCTGTACCCAGGTGCCTTTAAAAGAGCTGAGATTTGCATGCAAGAAAAAAGGAAGGTTTTGAATGCTGGCAGAGCCCAGGACTCATTTATGCAGCACAGTGATGTGTTGTTACAGCCTTGTTGTCTTGTGCCAGTGAAATATGTTACAATGGGAGGTACATACGTTGTACTGAAATAGAAACAACTCCGGATGCTAATTCTGGCTTTGTATCTCCTGGCTTTTCATGTCAATGCAAGTGAGGCGTGGCGCCTGGAGTGGACAGGATGTTTTTGTGCTTGGTGCAGCTGCAACAGTGCCTCTCCAGGGCTAGGGCAGAGCTGTCCCTGTCACCGCAGTGCTTAGTGACAGCTCTGTGGGGCAGAGCAGCATCATATCATCAACTGTCGAGAGAGCTGGGCTTGTTCAACCTGGAGAAGAGAAGGCTCCTTAAGGGGAAACCTTAGAGCAGTTGCCAGTGCCTAAAGGGGCTACAAGAAACCTGGAGAGGGGCTTTGGACAAGGGCCTGTAGGGACAGGACAAAGGGGAATGGCTTTAACCTGACAGAGGGGAGATTGAGATGAGCTCTTAGGCAGAAGTTCTTCCCTGTGAGGGTGCTGAGGCTCTGGCACAGGGTGCCCAGAGAAGCTGTGGCTGCCCCATCCCTGGCAGTGTTCAAGGCCAGGTTGGATGGGGCTTGGAGCAACCTGGTCTGGTGGAAGGTGTCCCTGCCTGTGGCAGGGGGTTGGGACTGGGTGAGCTTTAAGGTCCCTTCCAACCTAAACCAGTCTGGGATTCTGTGATTCCATGATTGCCTGATAAACAAGGGTGAATGCAGTTAACGCATTTCTGAACCTACACATTGAATGTGTTCCCTCTCCCTGCTCTGATGGATGTGTCTTTCATGGTCTGAGTGAAAGGGCCCCCAGGGTAGGCACAGGGTGTGCCTGGCTCCCCGTGCTGTGGCTTCTGCCTTCCACCCATGTGTAGCCAGCCCATCCCTTGCTATGTGCCTGCTGCACCAGCAGTGCCATCCCACAGGAATCGCAGCGCAGTGAGTGCTGCTCCTTGCCTGGGAATTGCACCCCGTGCCAACAGCAGTTGGGAGCTGCTGTCACATTTGTAATGGGAGTGAGAAATGATCATCATAAAGGGAGCAGTGACAAGTGGCCACCGAGAGGCAGGAGCTTCTGCATGGTGTGCTCCCTGTGTGATCTTGAGGCCTGATGCAGTGGAAATGGAATGAACCCGAGTGCTGTAAGGTGCAGGGAGGCAGAGCGCCCTTTTCTTGCCAGGAGCTTGGCTCTGTGCGGTGCTCTGGGATGGGATCAGGATGCTGGTCCAAGCTGGAGGAAGGGCTGTGGAAACAACCCAAGGTCATCTTGTGTGAGGAGGCTGAAAGAACTTGCCTTAATCAGCCTAAAGAAACACAGGCTGGAAGGGGCTGTGACTGAAGTGTAATAGCAATTAATCATGAGAACAAATACCAGAGAGAGAGGATAATTATTTAAGGTAAAGGTTAAAATTGTCACAAGAACAACTGAGCATAAACCAGCTAAGGATTGAATTTTGGATGGGAATTTGAAGGATTTGCATCATTCAGTGTGAGATTTGGGAACAGCCTTGAGACTCTGCTGAGTTCCCCTCAGGGTGTGCTGGGAGCTGAGTCAGGCTCTGGTGTGGGCTCTGGGGAGCAGGGGACAGGGGATGGTTTTGGAGTGATCTCAGCATACAGCTCTTGGCACTGGATGATCCTTGTCTCTTGTCAGGAGGGATGCACTGGGAGGACTGTGGCAGCAGATCAAAGGGAGGTGATCCTCCCTTTCTACTTTACCCTGATGAGGCCACATCTGCGGTCCTCTGTCCAGTGCTGGGCTCCTCAATACAAGAAAGGCAAGGAGCTACTGAAGAGGGTCCAGCGGAGGCCACAAGGATGATCAGGGGTCTGGAGCATCTTATGAGGAGAGATTGCGGGAGCTGGACCTGGTTAGTCCAGAGGAGAGCAGACTGAGAGGGGATCTCATCGATGCAGATCAGTACCTCAAAGGCAGGTGCCAGGAGGATGGTGCCAACTCTTTTCAGTGGTGCCAAGAGACAGGATGAGGAGCAGTGGCCATAAAGTAAAACATGAGTTTCGCCTCAACATGAGGAAGAACTTTCTGCTGCAGGTGGCAGAGCACCGGAACAGGCTGCCCAGGTGGGTTGTGAGTTCTCCGTCTCTGGAGACATTCAAACCCCACCACTATGAACTGCTTCTGGTGGCCCTGCTTTGGCAGGGGGTTGAACTGGATGATCTCCAGAGGTCCCTTCCATTCCTAATGGTTCTGTGCTTCGGTTTCTGTCTCCTCACACCATAGCAGTACTGGGCATCTGTTCCTTTTTATCACATTCCCATTTGTCACAGAATCTTCGCAGCATGGCCTGGGCTCTCAGCCCAGTGGCAGCACTGTGTGTTACGGAAGGCTTGTGGCCTGAAGAAGCCACCCCACTGACAGGGTTATCCTGTGTTTTCTCCCTCAAGGTCTCTGGACAGGAAGCTGCAGCGGCCGCTGCTGGGGAAGTCCCGGACACTGCCCAGCATCCCGCAGTCCCCGGTCCTGAACAGACTTCCCCTTCTCGACCCCACCGTGTACAGGGAGGAGATGCCAGAACAGAAGCCCTACAAGAAGCACTCAGCCCCTGACCCCCAGAAAGGCTGCACAGTCCCTTCTGCTGGTAAGTAGCTTCTGCTGAGCTTCCACCCTGCCTGCCAGATCCTGGCAAATCTTTCCTACTTCTCCAGGGGCACAAATTCCTGGGAGAAAAGTTGGTCTTGATGATCTTAAAGGTCTTTTCCAACCTAGTTCACTATGATTCTATGGTTCTATGAAACGATGAAATAAATCCAGGTCCAGCCTGTGTGGGGTTTATCCTCCTCTAAAAGCAGCCCTTCCTGGTGAGGTTTGGGCTAATTTTTGCTCTTCTCTGAGGCTTTGGGCCCATTATTTCAACCTCCCCATCTTTATATAGTCTCCAGGCTGAGCAGCAGCCCCAGCTTTCTCAGTGTGTCCTGGTATGGGAGGTGCTCCAGCCCCCTGATCATCCTCATGTTCTACTACTTGTGTGCTGATCCTGATGAAATACTGATAGGGTTGGGCTAGCAGCTCTGAGCAAGTTTATTAGCAAAAACCTGCTGATTGCTGAAGTGTTTCAGTGCTTTTGGTGCCAGCAGAATCACTCCAGGGCCATAAAAATGATGGGGAAAGAGATTATTAGCATGGAAACAGTGATAAGGGCTGCAATCCACTGCTGATAGTCCAGTGCTAAATATACCCTTAAAACCCAGCTCCCTTCCAGCAGAATTCTTGTATATTTATTTTGATCTTTTAAATCTACTCTGCTCATGGTCAGGTCACTGTGAGCTGGATTGATGTCAATGCTTTGCAGCCTGTGTTTCAGTTCTGAATTCTCTGGCAAGTCCTGCCTGGAGAGGACCTTGGCATGGCCAGAGCTTGTCCTGCTGTGCTGGCCACAGCGGTGCTCCGGGTGTGCTGCAGGACCATGCTACTGCAGGACCCTGCTGTCCTTACAGCCCATTGTGAGAGGGGGTCTTTGATGGGAGGCAGACCTGTGGGACAGCTGGCATAGGTGGCTCCTTGAGATATGAGGGGGAACACTTCTGGGTAGGTAGGTAGGTGCAGGAGACTCTATTATTTTTAGATCTTAGGCAGAAGCTCTTCCCTGTGAGGGTGCTGAGGCGCTGGCACAGGTTGCCCAGAGAAGCTGTGGCTGCCCCATCCCTGGCAGTGTTCAAGGCCAGGTTGGATGGGGCTTGGAGCAACCTGGTCTAGTGGAAGGTGTCCTTATCTGTGGCAGGGGGTTGGAACTGGGTGAGCTTTAAGGTCTCTTTGAACCCAAACTCTATGAGTCTATGATTATCATGAGGATGATAAGGGTGCTGGAGCACCTCCCATGTGAAGAGATGTGAGGCTGGGGACAGGGGATGATGGCTGAGCCATCACAGGTGAGCGCAGGGGCCCTAGGGCTGGTTCCTCCTTCCGCGTGGGATGTTCCTGCTTGTTGGGGGGCTCTGCTCCAGGGCTCTGTGCCCGTGTCACGGCATTCCCAGCGTGGCCCCGGAGCGATGTGATCTGGTGCTGGCAGCCTGGGTCTGGGCTCCGATTGATGTGTTTGTGCATTGAATAATCACAGCTTTCAAACAGCAGTTCTTGTGTTGTATGAGTTGACATTTGGAGAGGAGCAGGAGCAGCTTATTAAACTGAAAGTAGGGGAGGAAAAAAGGATGAGACACAAGTGCTGTGCTCCAGGTCGCCTCTTTGTTCATGGTTTTCAGCTCTCTGCCCCTCTTTCAGCTTGTCCTCTTGGTTCTGATCATTCTGTTTTGGTGCCTTCAGAGCCACTGGTAGAACTCTGCGCATAGTGATCTGTTTTTACACCCTAAAAAGCTCAGGAAGCTTGGAGAAGAGGTGTGTGTTGAGAAGCAGGAGACAGAGCAGTTGGTTGTGGCTGGGGCTTGGAGCAACCTGGTCTAACGGAAGGTGTCCCTGCCTGTGGCAAGGGGTTGGAATTGGATGAGTTTTAAGGTCCCTTTCAACTCAAACCACTCCAGGTTTCTATGATAACTGCAGTAGTGCCTGGAGGCTTCATCTCTGTCCAAGTCTTCATTGTGCTCAACTGTATTTGACCAGTCCCAACCAGGAAGATACTAGGGACATGAGCCTGGACATGGTGGAGCATGGGGTACATGAGGCTTGCAGCAGGGATGCGCCCTCAACCTCCTCCAAGTTCTGCATCACCCATCCCCATGGCATGCTGGTGGGATGGGGTGGGCAGGGTGGATCCAGGCTGCCCTCTGGGCATCCCCAGGTGGACTGAGGGATACAACATGGCCTGGGCTATGGCTCTGATGGGGTGGCATGTCCTTCTAGGGGAGGCCTGGCAGCTGGAGGATGACTGTACGGACCCCCGCCAGGATGCCCAGCTCGGCACAGCGGTGGAGGATGCCCCATTCAGCTACTTCCGCACCCGCTCCTTCTACATGAGAAAGAGTCTGTCGGTGGACAACCACCTTGGCTCCCTCAGCTATGCTCTCCACCCAGCTGAGACCAAGGCTGAGCGTGTCAAGACCAAGCTACGGCGGCAGTTTGTGAGTATTGGGGTGTCTGCACCCTCTGCGTTCGTACATGTGCATCCTCCTGAAACCGTCAACGTGTCAGAGAGCTATTTTTATGCTCAGCATTTCCAAAGCAACACATAAAGAGGCTGCTCCAGCCTGGTGGAGCAGATGATGGCAGCTCAAGGTTGCCCACCCTGTGGCAGAGCCCCTCTCCATACTATTGCTCACTGGGTTATGTGCAGGGCAAGTCTCTGGGTGTTGCTGCCCAAAGGATGGAGTGAGATTGGAAGTAGGCAGTGAGTTTTCCCATCCTTTGCCTCACATATGTGAGCAACTGGGTCTGTTCAGTGGTCTGCCCTGGGCCAGCCCATGGGTGCAGTGAGGGGCTGCGTTGCTGAGATCAACCTTGGGCAGCTTCAGCCTTTGGGGGGGCATCCTGGTGGCAGGATGGCAGGGACGTGGCAGGATGGCAGGGACATGGCAGGGCTACACTGCGGCTGCAGGTGCTCTGATCAATTTTTCATGGGCTTTGTCTTTTGTCTTCCCCGAGACACTAGAGATGGGGGTTTGGGTGTCCTTCCTCCTGCCTGTTACTGGCTGTGGGGTTGTAATGAGGGCTCGGGTGTCCTTGTGCTGAAAAGCACTTGGTGTTGATTGGCAATGGGTGGGAGCATCAATACAATGGGATCAGACATCCATGTAACCTCAAGTGCCGCTGAGAGCTGCCAGCTGAGACACTGGACCTCCAAAGTCATTCACCGTCCTCTAGCCCAGAGGAGAGGCTGATCCCTCACCGGGTTGCACAGGCTTGTGCTGCTTCTGGTGTCCCTGGGGCTGTGTCACTACTGCATACTGTGGTGTTTGGCTCTCTGTGCTGGGATGGGCTGATGAACATCCCCACTGCAGGAGAACAGACTTGACCTTGGCAGTCTGTTGATTCTTTTCCATGTGCGGCAGAAGTGGGTGTCCATAGGGGTGAGTCTGGGGGAACTACCTGTGGTGCCTGTGAACTCCTTCTGTGGGAGCTGCTGTCTTCAGGCTCAGGATGTGGGTGACAGCCTCAGGGATGGACATGAGCAGAAGCGGGATGGGGCGTCCGGTGAGTGGCTGAAGGATGTTGGAGGTGTTTAAGATGACATGGTCCTGCTGCAGGGTAAGGTACTGAGTCTGATTTATCTGTCTTTCAGCCTGGATCTGCAGCCCCAGGCTGCCCCCAGGACAGTGGGAGGGTGGGCAGGTCACTGAGATGTTGCGGTCTTTGCCTTTCAGTATCTCTGTGGGACCTGTCACCCACAGCCTCATTTCTGCAGTGGGGATGGGCACAAAAGGTGTGGAAGGACTTGGGTTCTCTGCACCATCCTGGTGCCTGCAGGGAGCTGGGCTCTGCCCTTCCCCATGGGGCACCCTCCTGGCTTCTCAGCACCATGTCAGCACTTGTCTGTGCTGTCTGTGTCTAATTTGCTTTGGCCTTTGGATTCACGGGGTTTTGGGGACTTCTAGCTTTCCTTGGTGAACCCATGGAGCTGGCTGTTCATCTAGAAATGGAGCAGGAATTTTTTAGGGTGGTTTTTTTTTTTCCCTCTTCTTGCTATGTCATTTTTGGTTTGCTTTAACAGCTATGAGATGTTGCTCTAGGCTTGGCCATGGGCTGGGACCTTGTGAGACCTACTGAGAAACACAGGTTCATCCTACCTGGAGAGGGCATCAGCAGGGCCCTTCAGTGGAGGTTTGGGGCTGCGAGCTGCAGGGTGCAGAGCCAGCAGCTCAGCAGCTGGGGCTTGGGCTGGTGCTGGACCAGTATTTCCCACCCAGCTAGAGAGCCTAGGTTTGAAGCTCAGACTAAAAGTCCTGCTGACCTATGGAAGTTATTTCCAAGAACAGGTTGTTAGTACTGAGCTCCACGTCCTCCCAAGGTTTGGCAATTGTTTTCCATCTGTGTGCTGGAGGCATTGTACTTTCACAGAATCCAAGACTGGTTTGGAGTGGAAGGGACCTTAAAGCTCACCCAGTTCCAACCCGCTGCCACGGGCAGGGACACCTTCCACTAGACCAGGTTGCTCCGAGCCCCTGTGTCCAACCTGGCCTTGAACACTGCCAGGGATGGGGCAGCCGCAGCTTCTCTGGGCAACCTGTGCCAGTCCCTGGCTGGCACTGCAGGAGAGAACAGGATTTGCCTTTTCTGCAAGCAGCTCATCTGGGACCTTTCAGGAAAGTCCATATTTAAGCTTGATTCATTTTTTCAGGCTGTTGCACTTATCCAGCTCGTAACAGTTGATTTCTGGCTGTGCTGACAGTTTGAGCTGCTTTTGCCTTGTGATGCAGCTCCTTGGCTTTCTATTTTGGGAATTGCTGAGTGATGGGGGAAGATGCAGGGTTTTTAAGGGGGCATCCAGGACCCTAACCTGGCAGGGTGATGGAGACAGGGCAGAGCTGCTGCCCACATGCCCCCTGTACTGTGCAGATGTCTTGCATCCACTTGATGAGCCTCTATGCCTTATAAGGCTTTATTTTGGTCCTGGGCGTCTAAGCTTCTCTGAGGGAGAATTTCTTATAGCTCATGTGGAAACATTGGAAGCTGCCTCCCTGCATCCCGAGGATGGGGTGCTGGGGTGCTGAGGTAGCTCTTGGCTTCTCAGATGGTGCACCTGCAAGTCCTGCTTGGTCCTGTTCCCCAGGGGCAGCCCTTCCCATGGCTGCCATCCTCTGGGAGTGTGGTGGAGGGCGGATTCCCCCCAGCCATGGTGGGGTGGTGTATGCTTGCAGTCCCGCTGCTGGCATGTGATGGATCTGCATGTACAGATGACTTGAATTTGCATAATTCAAATTGTAAATGAATCCCAGTTTTTGTGATTGTCACAGTGAGTTTTCTTTCTAATAAGCCTTTCCTTTAACTCCTCTAAGGCTTGGAACATTGGTGACATCCTCTTCCATCTTTGAGGAAGAGGAGCATCTGATGGCTTTTGATACCTGCCTGTCACATGGCTCCCCTGCCTTACCCCTGTGGGTCCAGCACGTCTGTGCTGTGATGGAGGCAGTGGCCATGGCCAGGGCTGTGCTCTGGGACCTGCATGTGTGGTTTTGGGTCACTTGGTGATGGACAAGGGGCTCTGTTGGGTTTTTTGCCGCACTGGCTCTGGGCTGCCTCTGAGATGGCAGTGAGGAGCAGGGATGAGACCTTCTGCAGTGCACCTTGCCTGGGTAAGGAGAAGAGCATGATGGCTGTGTTACAGGCTGTGCTGAAACTCTTGAGCTTCACAGGAGCCCTGCTCAATAAAGGTGGAATTAACCCTATTGAACTCACCATTAGCCTTACGGAGCATTAAAGGAGGTCACCCAGGACTGAGTCATGGTCTGTGGTGACTGCTAGGATAGGCAGCGCAGATTACAGCACAGCTCTGGCTGAATTTATACTCTGTTTTTCCCCTTGACCCTGTCCTCCTGGTCCTGCCCACTGATGTTGTGATGTTACAAGGGAACCTGTTAAGCTGATAGTGCAGATCCTGTTCGTCCCCAAAAGAGGAAGCGCCAGCAGTGCCTGGGGTCCTGGGTGCTGGCCGATGGGCCATTAGCTTGATTTGCAGCAGGTCATGTGTGTTTCAACTCGGCGAGACTCAAGTTTGTGTTGCTTCCCTCTCAAGTTTGTGTTGCTTCCCTGTCTGTATTCTCACGCAGTGATTACTTTTAATTTTTAATTATTATTTTGTATATGGTATGTTTTTTCCAGGCAGTTATGCTGTTGGGAAATGTCTGTGCCCTCCAGGAAAGACCTAGAGCACTGCTTGTCTTGGGAACTCTGCAGATGAGTTGCACAGAGGTAATCCTTGACTTGCAACTCCCGTAATGAAGAAGGAAAGGCTAACTGGAACGGTAGAGCCTGGGAAAAGGAGGCATGGGAAGACAAACTGGCTTTGTGGCAGAAACCTGGTCAAATTTGGTGCTCACTGCAGTTACAAACAGTGCCTGGAATCCAGAAAGAGGCAGGTGCTGACTGACATGTACCCAATCCAGGTTTTCCTATTCCCATGGCTAATGATCAGTCCAGGGGCTCCTCCTCTTCCTGATGGACACTGCAGTGATGCTGAGGAGCTGCAGAAGCCATCTTGCCCCAGTAGCACTGGAGCATGGGATGTGACTATCCTGGACTGAGTGCTTGGTGCCAGGCAGAGCCTGGAGCAGAAAGGTTTCTGCTTAGTGGGACCCATCCCTGTTTTACCGCAATGTGTGCAGGGACTTTCTGAGTCCATTGAGTGGAGCCCATTATCTCCTGTGTGCAGCAGTGCTACTGGGGGCTCTGATGTGATGCTTTGGTGACAGCAAAGTCAGACTCAGCCCCGCTGTAATCCCACCAATGCCAGGGAAGTGACTGCAGTGCTAACACTCCTGCTGCCTTATTTTATGTTGTTTTATGTGATACAGACTGTGCTCTCTCATCCCTGACTTGAGAAAATGTTAGCAACCACCCACTTGATACTTGTTTGTGCCCTGTAGTTGAGTGCAACAAATATTAAAAGTTCAGTCTAGAGCAGGCCAGCTGTGTTTCATAGAATCATGGAATGGGTTGGGCTGGAAGGATGTTAAAGCTCATCCAGTCCCAACCCCCTGACATGGGCAGGGACACCTTCCACCAGACCAGGTTGCTCCAAGCCCCTGTGTCCAACCTGGCCTTGAACACTGCCAGGGATGGGGCAGCCACAGCTTCTCTGGGCACCCTGTGCCAGCGCCTCAGCACCCTCACAGGGAAGAACTTCTGCCTAAGAGCTCATCTCAGTCTCTCCTCTGTCAGGTTAAAGCCATTCCCCCTTGTCCTATCCCTACAGGCCCATGCCCAAAGCCCCTCTCCAGGTTTCCTGTAGCCCCTTTAGGCACTGGAGCTGCTCTAAGGTCCCCCCTTAAGGAGCCTTCTCTTCTCCAGACTGAACAAGCCCAGCTCTCTCAGCCTGGCTCCAGAGCAGAGCTGCTCCAGCCCTCACAGCATCTCCATGACCTCCTCTGGACTCGCTCCAACAGCTCCACATCCCTCTTGTGCGGTT